AGCCAGACTATAAATCCTCGCACTAAAAGCATATTTACCTCGCTTTCTACTACATGATACAACATGCCCAGCTTTCAACAAAAAATTATAAGGCACACTAAAAGGCAAGGAAAAAACAGTCTGAAGAGATAAAGTACTCATCAGAACCATTCCCAGATATGACACACATGTTGGAATTATCAGAGAATTTTTAAAAACTATGGTTAATATGTTAAGAGTTCTCAATGGAAAAAGTAGACAAGATAAAAGAACAAATGGGTAATGTAAGCAGAGAGATGGAAACTCTAATATAGAATCAAAAGGATATGATAAAAATAAAAAATGTTGTAATGGAAATGAATGTCTTTATGGATTCAAGATTTATCCCTCTTGTCAATAAGTCTTGGGGAAGTTGCAAGTCATGCTAGCTTGGTAGAAGTGGACTTGTAATGGAAAAGAATTGTTGTAGACCACGATTTTGTCATAAGGGAAAGTACATCAATAATCCTTGTGTTGTACTCGTTGCTGAGTAGAAGTTAGTGTGGCCTCTGACAGTGATGTCTAATGAATATACAGCAGGCTGCTTAGTATGTTATTGCTCTCTGTGTTGATTTTTAGAGTTTTTCCTCCCTGTGAATGGCTTGGCATACTTCATTAATGATTTCAAATACTATAATACCACATCATCAAATATGTGAATATACAGCCAGTGGTAGCCTTTAGAGGAGTAATAGAAATTATCATATGTCTTATCCATTCATATTCCACTCCAGGAGAGTCTTTGTCTTCTATTTATAACTAATGATCCTAAATGCTATCCTTAGGACATATGACCACTTCAGACTTGTGGCTGCACAAATTTCTATTATATTTTCAAAATTCTATTATGGCTTCTACCATCCCTGCTAACTGTGGGTGAATTAGATGGATAGGGTGACACTGAATCTTTAAGATTTCACAAGTGTACCTTTTGAGCTAATATGCATGCCCTCTAGTCACTTTTGATAGTATGACTATCCAAAATACAGTCATGGGTGCATAATGATGTTTCAGTCAGTGACAGACCGTGCATATGGCAGATTATAATCATAGAGCCTACGTGTGTATTAGGCTATACGGCCTAGGTTTGTAAGTGCACTCTATGATGTTCACACAACAACAAAATCGCCTGACACATTTCTCAGAACATATCCCTGTCATTAAACAGTGCATGACTATAGGACAAGAAACTCCCTTGGAAATATTTTGCTGATGATAACTTTGAATAAGGATATGATAATACCCATTTCGAAAATATCTTCCCACTCTGTCAAGGAGGAGGAAATATGTTTTGTCTTACTTTTGCCCGCAGTGAGAAAAATAGTCATACTGTAAACATTGGAGTTAACACTTAGCGCAGTCCACCTCATCTCCAAGGGAAATGGTAGCCTTGCACCTTCTGGCCTTCTAGTGGTTGGGGAGGGGCAGGTTTTGGCCAATATGAATGCATGGTCTGGATATTGAGATTATCAGAGAATAACAAGAAATGCAGAATGCTTCAGATTTATTCTCTTGTGTCCAAGTTATCTCCTCATTAGAACTAAAATACTCGAACTGCATTGTGATTTGGCCTGGAGAACAGAAGTTCTGTGAATTTGGCGCAGACTTCAAAACACATAAATTGAAATAATCTTTCTATTATTCACACACTACATGGTAATTATTGTGAGTTATGTGGTTGGAGCAAACTTTTGCTACTTGTATATGCAATTTTCTTTATTTTCAGATACTGATTCACTCCACGATCTAATCTGTGTTAGACTACATACGCTTTACCATGGCACCTCATATATACTAAATGACCCTCTAAAATTCGTTTGTTTGCTTATGTGTTTCCCATTGGACTCTGAAGTTCTGAAACACAAATACTGCCTTCATGTTCTGTATCTCCTGTGCCTTAAGTAAAGTAGTCCTTCAACTTAAATTGTTGAAGAAATTATTGCATTGATTAACTAATTGAGAAAACAGGACTGAAGTGATGAAAAGGTATCAGCATTGAGATCATTATAAAAGTTCTCTCTTTATTCTAGATTTGAGCCAGATTCTTTCCATGTTAGTTATTTACTTCTTATAATTTAGCCATTTACTTCTATAAGTTAAGACCCTTTTCAACTACTAGTTAAGTCAGAAAAAATAGCTTCAATGAATCAATCAAACACATCATACCATTACCAAATAATATTTTAAAAGTTCAGGTCAACGGGGGAATGATAGCACTAATAATGAACCTCAGTGTACAAGTTCAGTACTCCAGAGCTGCTATTTCACAGAGAAACCCACGAGAATACATCAAAATGTGGCATCATGTGATGAAAGATTTATGCAGATTTCATCGTTCCCTAGGTGGAATGCAAACAGCAGTGTCGAATTATTTAGTTCTTTTTTAATTTTCCCCTCTTGAAAACAGTACTGATAACTCTTAGGGCATAATGACACAATTAAGTGTTTACAAAATAATCTTGCCCCAACTATTATTTCATAATATAAAGGATTCACTATTGAAGTGTTAAAAGCTTCCACCATTTTTCTTTATTTTCCAGAGCTTTTTCATGCCATCCTACCTCTCTCATCTTTCCCTATTTATCTCTTCTCATACCACTTTTTCGATCGCCTGAAGAAGAAATGTGTGAGGAAGGATTATGGCAGAACTTCCAAGTTTCAGGATGGTTTGTATTGGGCCAATCATAATATAAGAGACAAATGCTAAAGAAGAGGGAAAAAAGTTTAATGTAATAATTTCATCTCCAAATGAAAATATTTAACAAACTAAAGTTATTAGAGACTTAAACAAAGAAGGTAGGAATCGCATAGATAGAAAAAGAATGTGTCTTTTCAAGAATGAGATCTAATTAGTAAGGATCAGAAACTGAGCTCTCAAAAAGAAAGTAAACATATTTGGAAATGGAAAGTACCTGTAGCAGGGAGAACATTCTAAAGAAATCAGACCAAGATTTGTATAGGTGGATTACTGAAGGGCTAAGACGATATTTTTCTTTGAGGAATCCATTGCTTAATGAGGAGGACATAAGTAAACAGATGAGATGATGCAGGGTGATGAAGTGTTTAGAATCTAAATCAGGCAGAGGTAGAGTAGATAAGGTGCTTTTCATAGTCTGTGTAAAACAGATGTAGTTTTAAAACATATCCTACATTTGATATATCAAATATACACAATTATACAAAAATTTGCACTTTGTCGTTTCATTGATTATTGGTGTTAACTGATACAGTCCAGCTCCCAAAAGATATGGAAAGTTCTTGAAATTCAGTGATAGCAATATAAGGTAGAATTTAACACCATGGCCTTTGATGCCACATGGGCTGGGATTAAACCTTGAAGACATTCCTACTAACTGTGTGAATTTAAGTAAGTAAACTAACATTTTTCAGTTTTCTCATGTTATATAACATTACCTGTCTCATAGGATTCTGATAATGATTAACTTACGAAATGTCTAGCATATCCCAAGCTCAATAATGTTACTGTTTTTGCCTCTGAATTATTCTAGAATAATTCAATTTGGTAAATTTAGTGTTTATCTATTTTTTATAGTTAAATTCCTTGAAAACTAGTAAATGTGGGACTACAAAATTTATAAAAATAGTTAATTAATCAGAATGACTACATTACCAATAATGGTGTTAATCATGACAGTAATGTACGATCAGTGCTTTAAAGAAAGCTACATCATGCATCGTCAAATATACTAGGTCAGTAGCTAGGGAATCATTGAATTAATTGGTAAAGAGTATGATTCTGAGAATCAGACTGCCTGACTGGTGGTCCAAGGTTTGAATTTTAAAACTTTAATTAAGAAATTATTATGAATCAGTGTCACGCAAACATTTTTACTTCTATTAACTCATTTCACCTTGTAACAATATTTGAAAATGGGTCTTCTACAGATGAGAAATTGAGGTGGAGGACGTAAAATAATTTCTAAGCTTATTTGAGCCAACATTTGTTTTTGTTTACATGCAATTACAGAATTTCTTCCATTGCATGTGTATGGCCACAAGTATGGGTTATGTAGCTATGCATTAAGTTATTTTAGGGTGTTCTGTCTTTACCAGGTCTTAATTTTCTAATTTGTAAAAGAAATACGTTGAAATCCCATGATAACTAGTTACTTAATTATATTTTCATTTTCTTACTTTCTAAGTAGGCAACACCCATGGCCCCAGCCTGCAATACGGGGTGCCCCTGTCTTGTGTTTGGTGTAGCTGAATTTCCAAGACTCTAAGATGGAGGGATAAGGAGCTGCCTGGGCAACATGACCACCATCACCACCTGTAGTAAAAGGATGTAGCATAGAATGGTTCTCTGCTAAACATGGGTATATGGTCAGATAGCACAGGAATTCAAGGTCAGAATTCATGATGCAGACTAGCAGTATCTGCTGATAACTTTCTCCTGATTGGACTCACTGAACCTGAGAAACTGCAGGGCTCTTGTAAGGTGGGGATTGTTCCCAGTGCTGATAGGAGTGTGTCAGTGCCACAGCTTGTCCTGGCAGACCTACCCAGAGACATAGCAAGCTGTTGGAAGAAGTTTAGAACTCTTTCTATATGGGAACAATTAACAGGGTCAAGATGTGCTAGGAAAGAGGGGTAGTCAACTTGGGACCCACAAAAACACACAGCCATATACACACAAACACATGCAGAGTCACTAAGAGAGTTGAGAAGGCAGTTGCATAGCTGTGACCACAAATAAATGGCCTCTGATATTTGTTGCTCTCTTTGAATAGTATCCCCATGGCTGTAAATTCCCAATGACTGTGTGTACATAAGACATAAACAAAAAAAACCCACAAATTACCAACTTAGATGTATGAAAAACTCAATCCTCTGTATCTGAGATCCTATCAAAATATTTATTCTCTAAAGAGATAAAAATAATGTTATATGTCAATTCTATGTAAATAAAACTGTAAAAAAGGTGAAATAAACCTATTACTGAGAAATGAGTTGAGAGACCAAAATTTAAACATGTTCATTGTAAATAAAAAAAGAATCATGATTTTTTCAATGCATCAGAAAATTATGTGAAACAAATATCCCTGGCAAGATGATTTTGGATAATGTTTAACACTGAGAACAATATATGCAATAAATTATATGTTGATGACTAAATTATATTACTCTATTTTTAAAATTAGCGTATCTACCTCGAGCATTTATTTGCTCGAAGAATATGGTACTTTGTCTTTCAGCTTCAGTAGAGCTTTCTTCACTTCCTTGTTCCTTAGGGTGTATACCACAGGGTTTAGAAGGGGTGTCAGCACAGTGTAGAAAACTGCCACAACCCCATCCACAGCATTCTTGGAGCCTGGCCTCAGGTAAATGAAAACGCAGGGAACAAAGAAACAAAGGACCACAATGCAGTGGGAGGCGCAGGTCTGAAATGCTCTGTGTCTCCCCTCTGAGGTGCGGATCTTCAGGATGGAACAGACAATGGAAATATAGGAAAGCGCTATCAGGAGAAAGCAGCCCGAGGCCACTACTCCGATGCTGACAAAGATCACCATCTCGATGGCAGAGGTGTCTGCACAGGCCAGTTTGAGGATAGGCGGTGCATCACAGAAGTAATGCTGGATCTGGTTGGGCCCACAGTAGGGCAAACGGAACGTCAGTGTGGTCTGGATGGCAGAGTGCAGAGAGCCACTGAGCCATGTGCTTGCAGCCAGGAGGACACATGTTCGCCCACTCATCATGCTGGTGTACCTGAGTGGGTAACAGATGGCCAGGTAGCGGTCATAGGACATGATTGTGTACAGGAAACACTCAGTGCTCCCCAGGAAGTGGAAAGAGTAGAGCTGGGCCACACAGCTGCGAAAGGAAATAGTCCTGCCTCCTGTAGAGATGAAGGTCATCAGCATTTTGGGCACAGTGACTGTGGAGAACCACATGTCAATGAAGGACAGATTGGTCAGGAAGTAGTACATGGGGGTGTGGAGGTGGGAATCCACCGAGATCACCAGCAGGATGAGGAGGTTCCCCACCACAGTGAGTACATAAATCACCAAGAAGATTCCAAAGAGCGGGGTGTCCAACGCTGATGCATGGGGAAGACCCATGAGGATGAATGTTGTCACGAGGCTCACATTTGCCATTTCTACGCATCTTTGGTCCTTCTCCATCTAAGAATATAAAAAACACATAGCATTTAATTGAGAACTGAGAATCCATTCTCTATGTAGCAACTGCATCATCATGGTAGATAATTCTAGAGTTATACTCAACTTTGCTTATTATAAAGCCTCTTTAGTAAAAGTGGATAGAATGATTTCAGCATCTGTTTCTCTCTCTCACACAGACACACAGACAAATAGAAGCACAGACTTATATATGCAAAAGAAAGTAGGAGAAATCCATGGCATTAATTTCCATTGGTGTATCATACATTACCACAAATTTAGCAGCAGGAAGCAATTTAAAATCACTATTATACAATTTTTTGAGTCAGGTCACCTGAGTCCTCTGCTCAAGTCTTACCAAGTTTACATCAAGGTGTCAGCTGGGTCTGTAAACTCATCTGAGACTATAATCTCATGAGAGGCTCAGGATCCTCCTCCAAGTTTATTGAGATTGTTGTCTAAATCCATTTCCTTGCAGCTTCAGGACTGGGGGCCCTGTTTTCTTGTTTGCTGTTGACAGGGAGCATTGCTCTCCACTTCCAGAAGCCACCTTTAAGTCCTAACCACCTAACCAGACTATCTGGTAACATGGCAGCTTCATTCTTCAAAGCCAGCAAGAGACTCTCTCCAGTTTGCTGTGACAAAGTGTAATGTACTGTGATGTCACCAAGAGATATCCTACCATATTCACTGGCCCTACCCATGCTGAAGGGGAGGTGATTCAACAGGGAGTGTACACCAGAGGTCAGGAATCTTTGAGTCTAATTGGAACTCTATTTTCTATCAAACGTTCATGAAGAAACTTAAAGAATCAAGAATTTAATTGTTGATAGCAATGAGCATTTCAAAAGTCTACAGTATATCTAAATCATTCTCTTGTGTCCTCATATATAAGTCAGCAGTACTCACCTCACCTACCTCACTGAGAAGTTATAAGTATTAAGTAAGATACTACGTGTAAAGTACTTACTACAGTGCCTAGGATGTAAAAGCTGCTCAATAAATGATAGTGAATCATATAACACTTTGCTTTGTATTACAGAATTTCCATATATAGAGAGAGAGAGAGAGAGGGAAAGAGAGAGAGAGAGATGGATAACAAATAAAATCTCTTTGTTGTATAGGGACTTCTCAATTTCAAATTTATATCTTTGAGGCAAATTTCATCTCTGGTACTGGTACTAACGTCTCACTACTTATAAAACGATTTCTGTCACTTCAACTAGAGCAGATTAGAACCTCAACTCCATAATAGGCTACCTGCAAGCTCCCATACGATCCAGAAAATACCAAGCCTCATGCACTGCTAGCCTCACTCTTCTCTTACACTAGATTATCCTTTATGAGGCTCTAAGAAAATAAAGTTTGAATGTGTTCTCCCAACCACAGTCCATTGGGTACAGACCAATTTTCTAACATACATCCTTCTCTGCTAGATATCTAAATGTTTCCTAATATTGGCTATGTTAGAGAAGATATCCCTCCCCCATCTTCTATTCCTCATACTCATAAATCCAGGCATGGTTCTCATAAAAGAAGACAATTCCATCAAGTATATGGTTCATATTTAAAACCTACTACCTGGCACAGGAAAAATGGAACCAATGCAAGAGGAAAGAACCTATGTTGGGTCGATGTCAAGAAAAGTTGAGATTCTGTACAATGAAAAGTGAGACAGAAATGCTGTTATTGATTTAATCCAAAATACTGTCGAGTTCAGGGTTGGTATTAATTGTTTATGAGAGAAGACTCTGAAACTGGCTCACCAATATGAGACAAACAAGGATCTCTGCTCTTAGCAAAGACCAAACAAAATTTATCCTATTTCCAGGCAATGTGGCTTAAGCTATATTAAAGGTACATTTTTTCAACTGAGAAAATGAATAACAGAGACAGAATTATCCTAATCACCTACATGGATATCAGAACTTAAGAAATAGAACAAATGTATCTCTGAAATTCCCCTCTACCAGTGAGATTCTGTCACCAGAATAATCTCACATTCAGACTAAATGAAATATGAAAATTTCCATCAGGTGAATTACAAGGTAGCCTGAGACTTAAGCAGGAGTATCAATCAGAGGTGTCAACGTTTGAATTGTTTGTCCTTGCTGTAGCAACGTAGTCCCTATTTGTAGATCCTTAATTACCAATTTTATTGTATATATAGAAAGAGAATTGTATCTATACAGAGAAAGAGAGAGACTAGATAACCAAATTTAGAAGGAAGTCTAATGATCCACAAGTATCTTAACTCTGAATGGAAGTTTAAGAAGGAAAGCAAAAGGAAGTAAGAGAAATCTACCTTTCTAAGAACTCACCTTACAGTATTTGATTCATTTCAGTGTAAAGTTCATCTGTGGTGTTTTTTTCCCCAAATTTTTCACTTTCTACATGCTATGACAAGGCACTAATTTGCACGTTATTACTCAAGGAAGAGATACGTCTGTGATTCCTTGGTGAGAAAAAGTAGTTTATTCCTACTCAAGGACCCAGCTAGTTGAAGTACAGGGAATGGAAACTAACATGGCTGGATGGGTAGGAGCCTGACTTGATTTAGTGTCTCAGGAGATAGGATTACTCTTGGGTCTTCAGGACCCTTGATGAGCAGAAAAACAATAAGAAGAGTCTAATGAAAGTTTTTAGTAATAATGCCTATATTTCCCTATGTGTTTGTTATTTGAACCCTCCTGAGAAGAGTTCATGTCTTTCTGGAGCTAATAATTATAACTAAGAGGAAGGGAGGACTCAGTTATGCTTTTCCCTCACCTGTGATGGAGATAGGCTCACAACTGCTTACTCTCAACTTAAAATTGTCCAGAATCCATAAATGGTCATCACCTGTTTGCACTCTCCATCTCAATAGCATTCTCTTTTTCACCATCTTTTAAAATGGTTTAAAGCACTTAAATTTTCAAAATTATTTTACAGCTGAATTGTAGATATAACTGTGGTAGACTTTATGACATTGGTTTAGGTAAATATATTTTAAAACAAACAAACAAAAGATAATTATAAAAAATAACACATGAACTAAATTGATTGCATTGTACACTACGAATTTTGCAGCTGATTTTCTTTGATCATGTTTAATAAAGCTAGAGCCTCATAATCAGATTATAAGTAGAGAAAAAAACAGTTGGAAATTGTTTTTGCCACACAGTTTTATAGTGCCAATTTATTTTCCTAGTAGCAGTGGTTGAAAGTTCTAGTTTTCTGCATGTGATCATCATTGGGCATCATCTGTCTTTTTTACTTTAGCTCTTTTAATAGGTGTAAGGTGGTATCTTATCGTATGTAAGTTGTAGTTTCCTTATGAAAAATCAACTTGAATATCTTTTAATTATTTGACTTTTTGAGTGCTATGTAGAATGGTATCTTTTTAAATTTTCATTCCTATTTTCCATTCTTAAAGTTATCATTTCTGTTATTACAAAGCAATATTAAGAAGTAAAAGGCAAGCTGCAGAGTGGGAGATAATATTTGCAATACATATATTTGACAAAGAACTTAGATCCAAAACAAATCTTGCCTAGAAATCCATAAAAAAATGGAGAGCCCCTCTCAAATTGGAAAACGGCAAAGAATGTGGGTCAGAAATTCACAGCAGAGTAAATTTAAATTATTTGAAAAGATGCTTAAGCTCATTCCTAGTCAGTGAAATGCAAAATAATGTTATTGTTGGTATAAATCTGAGTAGTTATAATGTCTTCTTTGGGAAAGCAATGTGAAGATAGTATTGAATTTAAATATATGTCCTTAAATTCAACAATTCCACTCCAGGAATCTATCTCAAAAAATAAAAGCACCACCACATAAGTATTTATTCAAACACATGTGTTGATACATGATTTATAGTTGCAAAACAACTGAAAATCAAGTGAATATTCCTAAAGAGGAATGGTTGAATAAATCATGGTACTGCTACATCATGAAACACTAAGCAGTTACTGTAAGACTGAATTATAACCACACTAGTTAACCTTGAGGAATTTTCACGAAATATTTTCTGTGGAGGAGTGGGCAGGAGCATAATGCACAGTAGTTTGGTTAGAATTTTGCCATTTTCATAAGCAAAGAAAATTTTTACATTATACAAGCATAGAAAAATAAGTAGAAGAAATAAACCAGGTTATTAATCTAGGATTGAGAAGGTGATGGCAATGAAAAAAAGACAAAAAATTTTTTAAAGACTAAAATAATATGGCATATATGATACAATCTAATTAATTCACAATTATATCCATTAGTGTATACGTAAAGAAACTAGAAAGTAAAAGAATTAAATATTGATCTACTGACCTCCAGGGAGGTCGGTGATATATATTTAAGGAGAAAAAAGCAAGCTAAACAAAAATGTACTTTTCCGTTACAACATATCCCTCACATATACACACCATGTAACAAGCAACTCAGAAAAGCCAAAACATCAAACCTTAACAGGAACAGGAAACATGATGACCAGCCAGAAATATTGCAAAGTAATGCCTAAGAAATATCTGGTGAGGGTTCAACTGTTGTTTCCGTGCACTACTCAGCTCCACAGAGTGCCCACCATCAACACAGGCACAAAACCCTAAAAGGACTGATGGTATGCCACCAGCCCTGCTTTTCAAAACTCTATGTTGCTAATGCTGTCACTGCCATCATCTGAGTTAACTCTCCTGTGTGTGCCTTTTATTGCCCTTTCCTTCAGATCAAAGTCTAGGTTGATCTATTTTATTAGCCAAGCCTAGATCCCATGTCCATGTTCCCTATTTGCTAGAGTGAATGGGAAAGCATCTGGTATTTCTACAGCAGAAGGCAGTCCCACCTACAGGAAGGCGTTTTAAAAGATATGCTTCTAAAATATATGAATAAACAATTACTCCAATAAAGATTCATGACAATCTGCCATACTGATCACACATCATTTGTATACATCCTTCCCATCATATTTACACACACAAAATGTCAACGCCAAGTACAATGCGACTTTATTCCTCATGTCTCTCCCTTCACAGAGGAAGCCACTCCAATATATCACCATTTGTTTCATCCAGATTCAAATCTGGAATCTCTGAGTGATGACAATTTTATCTCTGGTTATGAGTAATTCTAACTCACTATTGTGTGACCTAAAGACAAAATAATAAAGTTACCGTCTTATATATATTAAGGGAGTGAATGGAGGGGAGAAAACTAAAACATATGTAAATACATGTACGTCAAAGCCATGTAGAAAATGCATGGAGAAGGTACAATACTGATTTTGCAAATGGTTATCAGATCACAGCTCCCGTTAATGATTTCTACTTTTTTTAAACACTTTTTCTTATCAGGAAACTCAGCATGTTAGTGTTGCCAAATAGGGTTGATCAAATCATTATTTCTGCAAGACACAAACACATTTTGATATTGCCAAATTAGGCTTCAGTCATTTACTATTACTTTTTACCTCTGGGTATCGTTAAATGCAGAGGTATCCTATGGAATTACCTAGATTCACTGTCTGGATAAGGAAAAAGGAAAAGTAGCAAAATTATAGCCTTTTATGTTGTACAAATATTTCTTCTTCAGTAGAGGGATAAAAGCCAGTAATTCTACAATTTGT